TTTTTTTTTTTTTTTTTTTTTTTTTTTTTTTCCAATAGGATAGAAAGAAAGAAAAGACAAAGTAAGACTCCAAAATATAAGAAATATATACAAATAGAGCACACGTCAAAACACCCGGCCACTGTCTGTTCACCTGCAAAGAACATGACAAAACACAGCAACAAAATACATATGTATAAAGAACTTAAAATATTCATGGCTTTGCAGTAAGTTTCCATAAATATATATACCCATACCTACGCCTATATACATACATACATACATACACATGAATATACACTCACATACATATCTATATATCTACATATAAAGCCTAAATAAGCATCCCTGCTTCTATTTGTGTGTGGTTGTGAGCATGCATAAGTGTATAAGGCTTCTCTAATAGAACATTTATTAGTAACTGTGAATTGTGCAAATTTTTAAAAAAATTCAGCTACTTTCAGCTAATTTCAGCTGTTTTTTCAGCTGTTTTGTGCTCCTTTCAAATTATTTTTGCTTATTTATGCAAGTTTTAGCTATTTCAGGTACTATTTAGCTGTTTTTATAATAATTTTAATTGTTTCAGCTAATTCCACGTTTTGCACTCATTTAAACTATTTTCAGCCTAGGTCAGCAAAAATGGGCTCTCTCCACTTGCTTCTGGTAATTTAATCTTCATTCTGCTTTTTTAGCTAGTTTTCAGCTGTTTTTGGTTATTTCAGCTTTTTTTCCAGATAATTTCCATCATTTTAGGATAATTTCTGCTTCTTTTGGCAAATATGTTAGTTCTGCTTTCTTCTGCTAATTTAAGCTAGTTCTAACTTTTCAGCTAGCTTTTAGCATTTTGTTGCTAATTTCAGCCTTTTTTTAAAGATAAATTAAAGTTTTTCATGGTAATTTATGTTACTTTCAGTCTAATTAACTTCTTTATGCTAATTTCAGCTTGTTATGCTCCTTTTAGCTTTTTTCTGGTATTTTCAGCTTTTTTCCCTCTTTCAGCTACTATTTAGCTCTTTTGATGCCGTTTATAGCTTTTTCAGGTAATTCCACATTTTTTTCTGCTCATTTCAGCTCTTTCTGCTTCCTTCTGGTAGTTTAAGCTTCTATCTGCCCTTTCAAGGAGTCATTCACATCGCATGTGATACATGACGTTTCAGATACTTTTCAGATTGTTTGTTAATTTCAGCTTCTTTTTTTGCTAATTTCCTAACGTTTGTGCTCATTTCTGCTCATTTAAACCTAATTCAGCAAATATGTTTCTGCTTCCTTCTGATAAATTAGTCTTGTTCTTCCGTTTCAGCTACATTTCAGCATGTTTTAAGCTAATTTCAGCTGTTTTTCATTAAGTTCTTCAGCAATAAGCATTCACACTGCATTTTTGCAGGAAATGCGATTTCTCTAGTTATGTTACAGAAGTATGTGCTTTGAAGGGTCTGGTAGCAAAATATTTCATGAACCACCAGGTGAATATTGTGTGCATGTGTGCATCTATCATTAGGTTTTGGAGTCGACAGACGATGAGCTAAAATCTGATGTGCTAAAGAGGCCAGTCACTCCCAGCCCAGACTCTGAGCTCTAACACGGCATGGCGTGTCACACAAGGTTGATTTCAACATCCCACCAGAGGATTTGTAAATTAAATTTGCCTAACACTGAACAAAGAAGTAAAGAGATGGTTGAAAAGTAAACCAGCATTGTAAAACAGATTGTTGATCTGCCCCCCTCACACCTGGGCAGGTGAACTTTCTCTGTCTACAGGACAGCCAATCAAAACCAACTACTGAGAGGGTTGGACATGTGTGGGCTGATGGAAGAGTCCACATCCACCCCCACCCTGCACCTACACAGCAGGCGTTAAGCTCAAGCACAGGCTCCTCCATCCCCCCAACAACAGCCAAGGGCAAAGGTGAAAAGGATGCTCTGAATCTTGTTGGTGACCCCTCCCCCTCCCATCATGACTCCTTATTAAGACCACCTTTGGTCAGGTGACAAATTATTCTGCATCACCGGTTTACAAAAGAAAGCAAAGGAAAAAATAAAAACAAGCAGCTGTCCGATGTCCCCCGTCTGAAAGTGAGAAGGAGTTCCACTGAGGAGAAGAACAGAGGGAGGTTTATTTTTCTTCTTGTCCAAGACGGACAGTGATCTTCAGACAACAGATCACAGTTCTTTCTTTAACTGAAACACCACAACTGTTTGACAAATCAATATGAAACAAACATCCAGCATCTAGGAAATCTATCTATACCCTGTGATTTTTTAATAATTTGTTTAGTTTCAACCACAAACTCCAGAGAATTTTAATGGGATTTTATTGAAAGACCAGCATGGAGCAGTGCATCGATGTGAGGGGGAAGAATATTCAGAATGTGGCCTTCAGTGCCCTGAAACAACTTTGTTGTGACTTAAATAAAATGAATTGAATTCATATTCAGCCCCCCTGACCTGAGTCAATGGTTTGCAGAACTGTCTTGTGTTCCAGCTGCAGGACTTTGAGGGTTTGTCTCTACCAGTTTCAAACACCTGACATTTTAGCCCATTCTTCTGTGTGAAACAGCTGAGGCTCAGTCAGGTTGGACAGATCAGCAGTTTTCAGGTCTTAGATTGTGAGTCAGATTTAGGTGTGGACTTAAACTGGGTCATTCTAACATAAGAACATGTTCTGGTCCTTGTGGTTCTGGCTGGATGTTTGGGCTCGTTCTGCTGGAAGGTGAACTTCTGTCTCACTCTCCATGTTTGCAGCTTTTCTTCCAGGACTTCCTGTTTTTACCTCCATCCATCTTCCATCAACTCTGAGCAGCTTCCTTGTCTCTGCTGAAGAGGAGCATCCCCACAGCATGATGCTGCCACCACCATGCTTCACTGTGGAGATGCTGTGTTCAGGGTTCGTTTGGTTTGATCTGAGCAGACCTGTGTCCCGGCATGACCCGGTTCAAACTGTAAACTGGACTCCTTCTGTCTAAAAAAGTGAAGTCTGGTCCTCTGAACATTCAAAAAACAAAACAAAACAAAACAACAACAACAAATGTAGAAACGTCTACATTTGTTGTTGTTTTGTTTTGTTTTTTGAATGTTCAGAGGACCAGACTTCACTTTTTTTAGATTGTCCTACCTGGATTATTGAGCATGCATCAGGATATGGACTCCTTCTGGTTTCCGTTTTGCTGCTCCTCCATGAAGACCAGACTTGTGGAGTCCTTGACTGACTGTTGTCCTGAGGTCAGGATGTGGATGTCTGCAGCTCCTCCAGAGGTACCATGGAGATTCATGTCTCCTGCTCTGTTTGCTGACCTGTCAGTTTAGCTGGACGACCATGTTTTGGTCTAGTTCAGGTTCTGTCTGACTTTCTGTTTTCAGATGATGAGTTGAACAGAGCTCTGTGAGATGTTTAAATCTGTTTGTTAACATAACCCACAACTTTACCCTTGACCTGTCTGGTGTGTTCCTTGGTCTTCGTGATGGCTAACGGCTAACAACAGCTAATAACAAACCTCTGAGGCTCACTAAACAGCTGGACTCATGCTGATGTTAAATTAGACTTTTTATAATGACCAGATAAATATTGAATTTCCTGTGAAAATGCAGAGTGAATGCTTATTGCAGAAAGATTTTACTGAAAGATGCTGAGGAAGATAAAGCTGTAAATCTTCAATCGCTGAACTGTCACTGCTTGATTAATTTGAACTGTTCAAAATGTAGCCAAAAACAGCTGAAATGCTTGCAAAAAGTAGACAATTGTTGGCTTAGAGCCAGAAGAAGCAAAAAGCTAGCAAAAAATGAAAATTTAATTAAGAGATACAAGTAATGAAACAATAGGGCAGCATGGTGGCACAACTGGTAGAGCTGCTGCCTCTCAGTGAGCAGGTCCCTGGTTCAAACCCCGGTCCAGGGGCCTTTCTGGGTGGAGTTTGCATGTTCTCTCCGTGCATGCGTGGGTTTTCTCCGGGTGCTCCGGTTTCCTCCCACAGACCAAAAACATGCATGTTAGGCTGATTGGTAACTCTAAATTGTCCCTAGGTGTGAGTGAGGGAGTGAATGGTTGTTTGTCTCGTTTGTCTCTATGTGTCCCTGTGATGGACTTGCGACCCGTCCAGGGTGTACCCCGCCCCTCGCACAGTGATTGCTGGACATGGGCACCAGAGACCCCCGTGACCCAAAATGGAATAAACGGGTAAAGATAATGGATGGATGGATGGAAGTAATGAAACATTAAAAAAAAAAGATAACTTGGGGCCAGTAGTAAAATGCTAGCAAATAGCAAGAAAACATTAGCTAAGAGTCAAAAGTAGCTAAATATAAGCATAAAGCAGTACAAAGCTAGCTTAAAGCTGAAGTAATAATACACCCACAAAAAGACAAAAAGCATAAAAGAGTTAGTCATGTTTGCTGATTTCAGCAGAAAGAAACTGAAAACAGCTGAAATTAGCAACAACAACAAAAAACAACCTGAAAGTAACTGAAAAGGCAGAAAAAAAGCCCAAATTAGCAGAAGAAAACAGAAAAAGCAAAGCTTTGCTGAATTAGAATGAAAGAAGCAGAAATTAGCACATGTGGAATGAGCTGAAAAAGCTAAAATTAGCAGAAAAACAGCAGCTTAAAATGCAGAAAAAAAGCTGAATTTTGCAGAAACAAGTTAGAAGAAACAGAAAAAAGCTAAATTTAGCACAAGCTGAAAGACGTGGAACCAGAACAAAATGTGAAAGGACCTGTAAATGGTTGTAAACAGATCAGGTTGTGAAGTGAGTTTTAATGAAAAAATGCAGATAAAGCTAAATATTTCAACAAACTAAAGTTGCACCAATACCAAAAGTTGTGGCAGGGGTGTCTGAACGAGCTGAACATTTCGATATATGAATTGTTGAAATAGCACAAACACTGAGGAACGAGAATCGTGGTGAAAAATGTGTGGGAGAAAGATAAGCAGAGAATCATAGTGTGCATTCTTAATCCGCTTTCACATAATTCAAACTTCTGGAAACTGTTTCTCTGGATGTTAGTTTGGAGTTTCAAAGTAAAGAGCTGAACACACACACTTCTCAGACTTTTATTTGTAAAAGCATTTTAAAATATTTTTTCTTCCAGTTCACAATTATGTGCAACTTTGTTTTGGCCCAACATAAAATCCCAGTAAACGACTTAAAGTTTGTGGTTTTATCAGAACATATGTAAACCCCAGGTTTCTGAAACAGACTCCGAAATACTTTGAACCATAACTACAAGTTTAAATATTAAATGTAGTAAAACATAGAGACACAGTAACTTGTGACAACCTGAGTCTTGGACATCAACAAAATAAAACCATTTTTGACAAATATTGAAAATGTAAGGTCTCACCTTGTACCACAAGTCGACCGAGTGCAGTCCGCCTCATTCTGGTGCCGGGCCGGTTGGCGGCGCACACATACACCCCCGAGTGCTGCAGGGAAACATCTGAGATCATCAGGTTCCCCGTCCCCAGGACTTGAATCCCCTCCACACCAATGGAGCGTCCATCTGAAGGACGTGCAGACGCACAGGGAGGGTGAGGAAACGTCAAAACATGGACATGCTGTAACTTCCAGCAGAAAAACTCCAAGGTACCTAGTCTGCTCCAAGATACAATAGGCCTTGGATTTCCTGTGGCAATGCACTCCAAGATGGCCGTCTGATGGACGGTGATGGTGAGGTTTTGTGGCCCAGACAGAATGATGGGCTCCTTGTATGTTCTGGAGGCTCCACCTGGAAAGGCCATACAACAGAATAAGAGCTTAAGGACGAGATCCAACCTAATGAAATCAATGAGTATAAACTGAAGCCATCCATAACACCTGGATTGAGATGTCTGAAGGCAAAGATTTTATTTTCACCAGCTGATTCTGGTTGTTTGGTTTTAGTTTCTTTAGGGTTCAAAGCCGTTCTTTAAATGATGGTAAGTCGTGACTGTAGGTGGACTGGATTTGCCTACAACCCACTCCTCCAGCTGTGGCGCTTCAACATGTGCAAAACAAGCTTTGGCTTAGTTGTAATGAATTAAGAAAACCCAAACTGCAATACAAGATAAGAAACTTTTTGATGGGCAGACCATAGAGTAGATCAAAAAGGTGTAATGCACAACTTTCTGTGACCAGTTTAAATTTTGAACAGTGGTTTTATGATGAAGTCCGTCTGAGCTGTAGAGCTCCAAAAGAGCTGAGTATTCTCACTCATTTCACCCAAACTCCAGTGGGTTTGATATGGAAATTATTATCCACTGTTTACCAAACGTTATCTACTGTAGACCTTACAAACTACCACTACCTAAAGCCCACTGCAAGCACTACTCCAATAAAGCTACACAGTTGGGTTGGGTTAGCTGTGGCTCAGGAAGGAACATTTGGCTTCCAGTCAAGCAGTTGATGGTTCAGTCAATCCCAGTGTCCTTGGGCAAGACACCAAACCCCAAGTTACACCTAATCTTTGCATAGTTAACATCAAGTGAACAAACATCTTCGATGGTCTAAACTAGCTGAATCACAAGACTCAGCTAAAACTCGTGACTTCCTGTGACACAGAGATAAATGTGTAGGAGAGCAGTGCTAAACTGCTGTACTTTGGAGGGATGACCACATCTCTGTCCCGTCCTTCCTTACTCATGTATCCCTGCCATTTTTAAGGCTGACACATGACACTTTAACATAACAAAATCTTCTGTTTCCATACTTCACTGACTGATGTTTACAGAAATGTACAACTGTCCAAATGGAAACTATCTGAGACTGTAACCAGTGGTTTAAATAGTTGACTATACTGAAAGTCACGGAACATACCTATAGTTTATAGAGAACAACAATTTAGGTAGAAATGACCCTAATGGTACCATCCTAATCATTTTATTATGTAAACAGAAAAGGCTCACGCTTGTATTTACTGGGATATAAAACCTTTCCCTGATCAGTCTCTTTGTGATTACAGCTGTTCACCTACCAGTGACGTTGAGGTTAGCCTCATGGCTGTAGCGAGTGTTGGCGATGTTGTTGGCCACACAGCGGAAAATCCCTACGTCTGCCTGCTTCACCCCCGTCACCTGGAGGATCCCCATTGGAAGGAGGGTGTACCTGAAGGAGGACAAGGTCAGTCTCTGAGTTTCAGAAAAGAACTGCTGCAGCATGACTCAGTTTGGTCCAATCTTCAGCTGTTGGACAGATGTCCTCCCATGAATCTCTAGAACCATTTGATCTACAGAGGAGTTCATGGTCCGCTCAATGATTGCAAAGAGCCCAAACCATCAACCCACCACCACTGTGCTTTGCACACTTTTTTATGATTTGACTTTTGTTAAACATGGTTCTGGGGCATTATGAGTAACCATCTCTGTCTCGAAGTCTCTCAGAACCTGGTAAAGACTAAATCATTTGTATGAAGTCTGAATACGTAAAATCCTAAAATCAGAAGTGTATGTACCAGAAGTTTACACTGAATTCAGGAAGTGATGTATTCAGTGTGTGCTTGCTGTCACCTGCTGTCAGAAATGTTCAGTGCTTCTCGGTCTTTCTCCCAGGTGATGTTGGCTTCAGGTACTCCGTTGATCTGACACTGGAAGCGAGCGACGCCACCCTCGTCCACAGACATGGACACTGGGTGGGTGTGAAACTTTGGAAGAGCTGAGGAGAAAAACACAAGAATGAACCATTTCTGTGACAGGTTAACGTTCTGATTCAGAAGTGGACTTGCTTCAGAGGAAAGGAAAAGCAAGTACAGTAGTCCCTCGTTTATCGCGGGGGATCCGTACCCTGAAGCCCCGAGATAAGAGGAAAAACCACGAAGTAGGGATAGTAGTACAAGTAGTAAGTAGTACTTTATTTTATATTCTCTGTTATTTTTTATATCTTGTGTGATTCCTTGTGTATGTTCCTTT